TTAAAGATTTTATTGGGGAATTGGGGAAGGGGAACAGACAAGTTGCTGTCCTTTTGTTCTTCAGTCTAGTTGTGGAGGACCTTGCTTCACTGACTCATGTTGGTATTATCATTGTGCTCTTCCCAGGTGAGGCAGATCAGTCGCCGGCCATTGGATGGCTGCTCACAGTGGCTCATGGCAGCTCACACTGGCTGCCGGCCACTCACGGTAGCTTACGGCAGCCCACTGCAGCCTACACCATCACCGGCGACTCACGGCAGCCCAGCTCCAGGTGGAGCTGTTGTTCACCATCTTAGCTGTAGAGGGTGCAGTGTCACTGGCCCATGTGTGATCTGAACCGGCGGCCCTGCTGCTCAGAGCTCACACTCCCAAGCCAACTCTTAACCAACAAGCCACACAGCCGGTCCCCTGTTATCGGTATATATTGAGTATTACAATTTTAATAGTTTTTCCTTTCTTAAAATGTATTTACATATTTTTGGCACCCTCTGTATATAACATAAAATTTGCCATTTTAATAATTTTTAAGTATACAATTCAGTGCATTAAATATATTCCCAAGGTTGTGCAACCATCACCATATCTATTTCCAAAACGTTTCATCACCTCAAACAGAAATTCTGTACCCATGAAGCTACAAGTCCCCACTCCCCCTCCCGCCAGCCCCTGGTTACCTCTATTCTATTTTCTGCCTCTATGAATTTACCTATTCTGGACATTTCAGATAAGTGGAATCATACAGTACACAGCCTTTCAGATCTGGCTGCTTTCACTTAGCATGATGTTTTTGAGGTTCATCCATGCTGTAGCGTGTCTAAGTACTTTTTCCCTTTTTATGGCCAAATAATATTCCATTGTATGGATGTACTAAATTTTGCTTATCCACGCATCTGAAGGTGGATGCCTTTCTTCTCAATACTCTCACCTCTTATTGTTAGGATACCCTCATAGTCAGATTACAGCCTCTTAGGCCCAAATAGGCTCAATATAAGTTTTCCTTTTAAAAATCATTTTTGTTATTTTTTAATCCAATCTCGAACAACTGCTACGTGTCAGGATCCAGTGAGAAAGACACATTCATGTTCCCATTACATATGAGGAAACTGAGGCCTTGTAACTGTTCATGCAAAGTCACAAAGCTGATACATTAGAGTCGGAATTTGAGCTTTGGTTTCAAACTGAACAGGATTGACTGGCTGGCCTGTGAGATGGCTGCTATTATCGTCCCCACTTCACAGATGAGGAAACTGACTTTGCCTGATTCCAAGAAGACACTGCGCTCTATGCTGACAATCTCTTTACAAAGAATGATTTGCCTTAAGACAAAAGATTGGCCCAGGGGTTCCCCTAAGAAGCGGGCATTTCCCGTACATCTGCCTAACGTCCCAAGCCCTGAAAGCTGCTGACCCCTCAGTTTTCCCTTTTCAGCCGAAGCTCCGAAGCCCACCCCATTGATTAATCGATAGAGGGTGATGCTCTCAGATGAGCACCACCTCCACGTGTCTGCAAGGGACAGAGGAGCAGTCACACCAGCCGCCATGTGGGTGTCCCAGTGTGTGTCAGGTACTAACCCATCTAATCCGCCCCGCTGGCCTAGGGGTGGTGCTATCACGGTCCCCATTTCACAGATGAAAAAACTGAGGCTGAGAAGTACAGCAACTTGGCCACCGTCAGCCAGTAGAACTGAACTGTGGTCAGGACCCTCATGGCCTCAGTGGCTCGGGAAATTGCAATGGGTATAAAATGTGGGCTAAATCTTGCAAGGTGGTTATACTCTGCCTGCCCTGACTCACCTGAAGCACCACCTGCGGTCTGGAGTGCCATCCGAGCTCTTGCCCACTGTCACCATCTCACCAGAGCGGAAGGCTTTCCTCAGGAACACGGGGAAAGAGCGTTCGATGTCCAGGATGGTGGTGGCCCACTGCAGGAAGGGAGGGGCAGGCAGGCCATCGGTGAGGGCCTCCCAGCCTGCGCCTACTGCCCTAATGGCAGAAATGACAGGACGGGCCGGGGCAGGCGGAGAACTAGCCTTTCTAGCTCCCTCTGCCCCTGGAAATAGGGTTACAAACTCAATTACCCACAGGGGCCTGGCAGGAGAACAAATAAGCAAAGCAGGATCAGACACAGGAAGGCCCCAGCCCAAGCCACATGACTCATGCACAGCAGTCGCCACTCAGTGTTGGGAGTCACCAGGGAGGGGTGGGGACGGAGGCAAACCAGGGAGCACAGCCCCATGGAAAGGGGGCAGCTGCCTTCCATCGACCCGAGCACTAACAGGCAGTGTGTGGGCCCGCCTTGCCAGGCCTCCATCTTTTCAAGAAAGGCCAGAAACCCAGATTTTTATATGCAACCTCTTAATTTAAAAATTTTGCATTACATNTCTAGAATAGCAGTGCCATCTTGTGTCCTTGGGGAAAGCCAGTGTGAGGAAAAATTCAGCACACCTGGGTGGTTGGTGCCAAGCCCAGTGCCTTTTAAAAGGATAAATAAGTGGCAGAACCTTTAATGAATCACAGAGGCTGAATTAACCAGCCTTAATGCCCTCCCTAACTTAGGACTGCCTGTTATCTGAGACAATAAATATTCCTTTTTAAGTCAGTGTAAATTTTTTGTTACTTGCTGCCCCAAACACATAACTATATGAATACTATAACCATAATCCTCTATTCTTTGAAAAGCCCGGGGAAATCACTTGATCTTTACAAAGGCTGTACCCCATCTTACAGATGAGGAAACTGAGGCACAGCGTTCATGACCTACTCACAGTTACCCACAAGGGTTGGCTCAGCCAAGGAGGGCATCCCATCCCCTGACCACGGGATTGGCTCAGATATGACATGTGACCCAAATCTGTCCAATCAGAATGGCTTTTGGGACACACACACACACACACACACACACACACACACACACACACACATGAGAATGCTAGCTGAGGACTCTGTGTTGGATTGGAATAAGTAAGCATACAGCCCTAGGAAAAGCTGGGCCATCCATGGACCACAAGAAGAACCCATCAACTCCTGAAAGGCAACGTAGAGGGTGATGGAGAGAATGGGTCCTTGGGAATGTTGGAGCCCCCTGAGCCACTCTTGACAGTAGTACAATCAGTCTCCCTTCCCTCTCAAAGAGCTGAATAGACTCATGTCTCTTGTGTTATTGATTCTCATCCTTCTGACAGATGGAGACATGGAGGCCCAGAGATAGAGTGACCCATTGCCATGGTTTGGGTAGAGGGTGCGGGAGCCATGCCCTGTGCTTTTTCCCACTGCTGCCCTTGGCCAGGTCCTGAGACCCATGCTCTTCTCAGCTGAAGCTTCAGAGGGACCTAAGACCCCAGCCTAAGCCAGGCCCAGGGGAACTGCGGAGGTCAGAGGGAAACTGTAGCTAGCTGCAGGTTCCTCAGCTCCAGGGTGGAAGAGCAGGATGGGGTGTTTGTGGGGGTCCCTCCTCATGCCAGGAGGCTTAGGGCTGCCCAGGGAGGCTTGGCCAGCCGTGGGGTATGACCCCAGGGTGCATGGCTGCCCTTGGAAGGGAAGTGGGTCAGCCTTTAGCTCTAGCTCACATTCACAGCCCGGATGGTACGTGGGCCCCAAAGAGGGAAGCAGGGGATCCCATCCCCACCCAAGGCTCCCCAGGGACTCTCACTGCTCAAGTCACGTCCTAAGGTCACTCACATCCTCACCATGGCCCCAGTGCTGACATTCAGCTCACCCATCTGCACAGCTGTCGTCTCCACCTCTGCTCTGCCTTTACCCAGCAGCATTCCTCCGCCCCCCTCCACTGGTAGTCATGACCCCCCAGCCAGCATTAAGCATCGCTATCCTCTGGTGAGCATTACTCTCCCCCACGAGCATTACTCTCCCCCACGAGCATTACTCTCCCCCACGAGCATTACTCTCCCCCACGAGCATTACTCTCCCCGCACCAGCATTACTGTCACCCCCACCAGCATTACTCTTCTCCCACTATTCCATCATCTCTACCTTCTCCATCACCACTCCAAACACCCCCACCCCTCAGGCCACCACCACCTCCAGTCCAGCCCTTGAACCATCACCCTAACCAGCACCTTGGCCATTACAACCGCCCTCATTCTCATCTCCGTGCCCCCACCACATGCATGTCTTCGCTCTCCCATCTTCCTGCTGTCATCCCATGCCTGTCCCTACCCCCCACCACCATTGTCACCACCATCTCCACAATCAGTGAATGAACATTTATTGAGCACCAACAAACCCCAGACACTCTACAGAATGCACAGAAGGTGCGACTCTAGCCGAGGGCCTGGCCTTCAGCAAGGCCACCACGCTGTGGAATGCAGCCCAGGGCACAGGGTGGGGCAGGGGGCTTGGCAGGCAGCGCACCTGGAACGGGGTCCCGAAGCCTCTGGCGTTCCATTGGTGGTGGGGGTCACGTCGCTTTCCTGAGAGCAGAGCAAATAAATAATGGAGAGGCAGGGGTGAGCCCCTGTGGGCTGAGAGGCCCCGGCGTTGGCTTATGTGACTCCATGGGAGTGAGACAGGCGGCCAGGAAGCCCTTGCCCAGGTGGGGAGGCAGAGCTGGGGGCAGGAGCCTGGGGACCAGAGGGTCCTGGGGCCACCCTGGCATCTCCACCTGGCCCTCACCTCTGGGGGTCAAAGGAGCATGTGGAGGAGCCCCCAGAAGGCACCACTGAAATGGAGGTGGACTATAAATGGGCAGGTGGAGGGGGTGGGGTTGGGCTGGAGACCCTGCCCCTGCCCACAGCCCCTAGAGCGGGGCGTCATCAGTCCTCCATTTTGGGGGGTAGTTCTGCCGGTGGCCGTCACAGCTGGGGTTCCCCATGTTGTCCAAAGGCACCACCACCTCATCAGGGCTCGAGTTTTTGTTCAGTTCCACCACGCGCGGCACCACTGAGGACCAGCGATCTATAGTGAGCATGACGGAAGCAAGGGTTGGTGGAGAGGGAGATGGTTCACGCATATATTGAGCACCTACTGTATATATCAGGCACACCACAGTGATCTAAAGGGCGAGACAGTATCCCTATTTACAGAGGTGGAAACTGGGGCTCAGAGACATCAAGGTACCTTCCCAGGAGCACACAGAAATAACTGGGAGAACCAGAATTCAAGCCAGGTGACGATGTCTTAATGTCCGTGACCTCCCATGTCCTTCCCAATGAGTCTCAGGCACTTAGTGTAGTGGAACTGAGGTGCTCCAGGCATTGACAAGCAGCAAAGGAAACTCACTGGTCAGCCCATCCGACCCTCCCATTCTACAGACACTGAGTCCCAAAATGAGGACAGGATTGCTCAAAGCTTCTACTCACCCCTCCGGAGGCGGCCCACTGTGTGTGAGAAGCCGTAATACTGGTAGCTCTCATTCTTGCCGGGGTCCTCGTTAATGATGCCCAAGTTCTGGTTCCAGTGAGACCAGTTCACCTCGTCTACCCTTGTGGGGCCACAGCAGACAGAGGTCAGAGAAGCCCCCACGGATACGGCACCCTTCCCCACCCCAGGCAGCCTCCCTGTTCCAGCCTCTCCAGCATACCCTCCTGCTTATTTTTATTCTGGTAAAATATACAGAGGGTGCCCCCAAAAAACGCATACACATTTTAAGAAAGGAAAAATCTGTATTGAAATTATGATGATGGTAACCACTTCGAGCACCTCTTGTCATTGCAGAAGTCAAACATGACTTGTATTCATCTTTTGTTGTCGGTGCGTGTGTATA